ACCCATTATGTTTGCTCTTATTTTAAAAACAGGTCACTTTGTTTGGTCACGTTTATGAACTATCAGGATGGATAACCAGAAAGATTTCATGCTGGTTGATTGATTACTTAGGAAAAGAGAGAAATATGAAATGGGAGTTTAGCTGGCAGCAGCAGTTCTGTTTTGCTTTTATGTTTTGAATTTCTTATATCCCATTCTGTTCAGTGTTTTTCTTCCTGAAGCATATCCTCTTCAGTAGCTGTTTCCGCAAAGCTCTATAAATGGTAACTTCTCAGACTTTGACTAAAAATGTCTATTTCATTATCACTATTCAATGTTAGTTAGCTATTTTGAATTTTAGGTTGACAGTTATTTTCTCTTAACACATTGAAGGTACTGTTTATTATTCTTTTGGCTTCTGTTGTTTAGAAATCTGTTGTCAGTCTTCGTTATTACTTTGTAGGTAAAATTACTTCTCTTTAGTTATTTTTAAACATTTTTCTCTTTATTTTTGTTCACTGGTTTAACTAGCTATTTGTAGGTATGGATCACAAGTTCTCAACATCCAGGATGTTCACTAAAATAGCTTGGGAAGCTTTGAGGAAAATATAGATACCTTGACCTACCCCACACCAATTCTAAAATATCGGGGTTGGGGGGCAGGCAGTGGAGGTCTAGGCAATGTTTTTTGTTTATTTTTAAAGCTTCTTAGTTGACTTACTTTCATTTATCCTGCTTAGGAGTGACCCAGCTCTTCCCAGAACTGCCTCCTCCTGAAACTCTGGTTAGACATGTATAGGACCTTTCCATTCAGGCCTGCATTTGTTTTAACCTCATACATTCATTGTCATGTCTTTCTCCTTAAGGTCCTATATTTTGTATAATTTCCTTAAAATGGTTTTCTGATTGACTCATTCTCTATTCAGCTTTGTCTAATGTGCTGTTTAATCCTTCTATTAAATATTTGCTTATAGTCTAGTGTTTTTCCTTGTGTGAGTCATAATTTTTAGCTGAATTGTTTTTTCTTCTGTGAGAATCTCTAAGGTGTTTTGTGTTTGCTCTGCTAGACTTTCTAAGGTATCACCAGCCCCTAACATGTTCTAATGTATATGTTAATTTATTGCCTTGGAGATTCTTATACCAGAGGAAGAGAAAATTCAGAATCCAAACATTCACATTTTCCCATCAGAATCTGACCAGAGATAGGCTTCTTTTTTAAACATGTTTGAAAAATGAGATTTCGCTTTCTTTTTTTCTTGATGAGAAATTTCTAATTTTAGTTTGCTTTCACTGAGGGGCTTGGCTGTTGATATGACATTGGGAAATTTCACTTTTTTTTTGAAGTCACTTATACAGCAAAAATATTTTTGTGTTATTTGATCTAATATTTGCAAATTTCTCTTAAAGCACTAAAATTTCAAGATTTAGGTGCTCCATTCCTTGACTATAATAAAGATTCCTAGTTGATTTTGAACAAATTTGGGGAGAAAGGTTTTAGGGCTCATTTACAAAAGAGTTTTTAATCCCTGCGTGAGGTAGTTTTTCAAAGATACAGAAATTTTAAAAATCACATTGATAATGGGTAGGTGAAAGAGCCAGGCGTCCTGTTATGCTGAAGGACCTTTATGGTATTCAGTATAATCTTATCACAAAGTTTTTATGGTTCATTTAATCTAAATGTGGATTTAAAAAATAATTTCTAAAATTTGATGACTATAGTATCTCTGTTAGTAGAATATTGCTTGTTTGGTAAAGGAGTTATGTATGTACCAAACCAATTGCAGGTACACGTCTGCCCCATAGGACTATCAGAACAGTATTTTTATCATGACACTGTTGCACCAAAACTTCTGTTTGTATTATTACCTCACAAAAAGTTGATCTTTAATGTAGAACTTTTTTTTTTTTTTTTTTGAGAGGGAGGAAGGAGGGGCAGAGGGGGAGAGAGAAAAAAATCTTAAGCAGGCTCCATGCCCAGCACGGAGCCTGACTTGGTGCTCAGTCTCACAACCCTGAGATCATGACCTGAGCCAAAATTGAGTCAGATGCTTAACAGAGTGAGCCACCCAGACACCCCTTTAATGTAGAACTTTTTTAAAACTCAGTTTTCATTAGTATTAGATATTTCACTTTTGATAGAATGACTTCCCAAAAGTTTTATTTTTATTCCATTGAAATGATTCAACATTCAGTCATTATTGGGTAATAACTGATTTTTCACTGTTAGCAGATGATGATAAAACTGATATAATTTAGCTGCTGGCAAAGTTCTATTAATGGGATCAACATATTAACACCTGTTACTTTACACATGGAGAAGAAACTTCTCAAGTTAAATTAATTCAGAATTACACATTTGTGGTTTTACTGCAAAGACATCAAATGGAATTGGTGATAAGCACAGTTGTGCCTTTCCTTCTGGGAACCTGACCTGTGATCTCATGTTTGTAGGTCTTATTTTATGTCCTTTGATAATTATGAAAATGTTTTACACGTTTCTTCATGAATTGTATATTTCTCTTTTTAAATTTAATCTTAGGAATTATGGTAGAGACTATTGTGTACCCTAATACTTTTCTGTTTTCTTTAGTGACAACACTAATTTTTAACTGGGCATGTTGCCTCCCAAATTAAACAGCTACTTTTCAGTCTTCCTTATACCTAGGCGTGGTCATGTGTTTAAGTCCTGGCTAATGAGATACAAGTGGAAGTTATAGAAGTTACTTCTGGAACATCTCTACATGGTTGCAGTTTTCCTCTTTTATCATACTGCCTGCGGGAGTTCCAGCTTCCATCTTAGGTGATGAGGATGAGGGCTGCACCCTAACAGAAAGACAAGTAGAACCTGAGTCACTGATAACTTTGTATGTCACCATTCCAGATTTGGAATTTCTATAGTTAGACTTTTTACGTGAGCAGTGATTTTTTTTTTTTTAAAGCAGCCCTTATTTGAAATATATTATTTTATGCAGGACTATGATTTCAGATAAAAGTAAACAAATGAGGTGAGCCCTGTAATCATCCTGGCATTTTTTCTGGACTCTATGTAAGACTGGGGGGATCCCAGGAAAACATGGCAGAATTGCTGAGTTAAGAGACAGAGATCCAAGTTTGGGAAGGCTGAGGCAACTGGGAGCTATGGAAGCAGTGTATGGAAAAGAAGGGAGCTCTGTGAGAAAAGTGCTCCAGAAATCTCCTTTTGAATCTGTTGCCAAGTAGTAAGCCACACCTGCCTTACCAATAACAGTACACCAGCTCTAACATAAAGGCTACTACTCTAAACCTACTCTAACAAAGCTTAAAAACAAGCTCTAAAACAATTGCCTGATCTGAAAGTATCTTTTTTTCCAGAAAAGAATCTGGCACATTAAAGGAATAAAACAAATTCTAGTGCTCACAGTGTTGACTGTTCAATCAAAAATTGCCAAACATGGAAAGAACCACAAACTGTGACCCATAACCAGGAGGAAAATCAGTCAACAGAAGGAGACCTAGGTGGGGCACCTGGGTGGCTCAGTCAGTTGAGTGTCCAACTCTTGGTTTCATTTCAGGTCATGGTCTCAGGGTTGGGAGATCGAACCTCATATTGGGCTCCACACTCAGAGTGGAGTCTGCTTGGGATTCTTTCCCCCTTCATCTCCCTCCCCGTGTCTTCCTCTGCTCTTGTGCGTGCATGCGCATGCTTTCATGCGCTCTCTCCCCGCCACAAATAAATAAATAAAACCTTAAAAAAAAAAAGAGACCTAGAAGATGGCAGAGATAATGAAATTAGTAGATTTGGACTTTGAAATGGTTATTAAAAGTATGTTTAAGGATTTAAACTATTAGTGTAATAAGGAGAAAAATGGAACTTCTAAAGGTAAGAATATGTCTAAAAAACACATGGCATGGCATTAATAGCACATGTTTTCTGCGGAATAAATGATAAGTCAATTTAAAGACAGCAGTGGCGGGGGGCCTGGCTGGCTTAGTTAGTGGAGCACATGACTCTTGATCTCTGGGTTGTGAGTTCGAGCCCCACATTGAGTGGAGAGATTACTTAAAAATAAAATCCTAAATAAATAGATAGATAGATAGAAAGAAAGAAGACTAAAGCACATAGACCAAAAAGGATTGAGAAAGAAATGAACAGTCTTCAGTAAACTATAGAAAAAAATCAGGTGGTCCAAACATATGTGTAATTCAGGTCCCAGAAAGGAAGATGGGGGCAGGGAAGCATATATACCTGAAGAGATAATGACTGAAAATATTCCAAATATAGTAGAATCTATGAAGCCACATAACTAAGAAGTTCAATGAACCACAAGCAGGATAAATACAGTGAAAATCTCACCAAGGCTCATCATAATCAAATTCTTGAAAACCAGGAATGCAAAACAAATCTTAAAAGTAGCCAGAGGGAAAAAAGCCCCATTTTATTCAGTAGAACAAAGGTAAGAATGATACAAAATTTTTTGTCTAAACTGTAAGCAAGAAGACAACAGAGTAACATCTTTAAAGTGCTAAAAATAAATAAATCATCTATATCCATTTAAAGTTTCAAAAATGAAGTTAAAATCAAACTTTCTTTGAGGCATACAAGAACTGAGAGCATTCGTCAGTAACAGATGTCTGTTACATGAAATGGTGAAGGAAATTCTTCAGACTTGAGGAAAATGATACCAGGTGGAAACTTGGGTCTGTACAAAATGGTAAATATCCACAAAGTGGATATATGACTTCTCCCTCCTTTTTTTTTTTTTTTTTTTTTGGTTTGTTTTGTTTTGTAAATTTAAGATAATTGAAGGAGGATTCTGGGAATAGTGGAGTAAGAAGCACCAGGAATCTGACTCCCTACCTAGACAACAATTGCACTGACAGACTCTTTCTGTAATTTGGAACTCTGGAATCTATTGAAAGCTTGCAAGTTGTTCCAGAGGAAGACTTAGAAGGTAAATTGTGTTTTATTTTGGTCAATTTCAGCTCTTAGCACAGTAGCAGCCACCCATCCTCTGCTCTTTTTTTTTTTTTTTTTTTTTAAGATTTTATTTATTTGGGAGACAGAGAAAGAGAAAGCACGAGCCGGGGGAGGGAGGTGGGGGACTGGGTGGAGGGGGAGAGGCAGAAGCAGGCTCCCCGATGAGCAGGGAGCCCAATGCAGGGCTCCATCTCAGGACCCTGGGATCATGACTTGAGCCAAAGACACTTAACCGACTGAGCCACCCAGGTGCCCCCCAGTAGGTACGTACATGTTCCAGAAGCAGCTTATAAATAGCTTGAGGGAGCCTACATGGTTAGAAATGACCATGTCCTCTTAATTTTCAGGAATCTGTGTTCTGATTGTTAATTGCTTCTTCTGAGCGCACAGTTGCAGACAAAGAGGCAGGCAGCCATTGTCTTTGCATCTCCTCCTATTGTAGCAAACTATCCCCCCTCCTCCTATGACTTCTAGTGAATTCAAAGAGCTGGCACTCTTTCCCTCTCCCTTCATTTTTCCTCTTTCACCCTTTTTGGGAGTGAGATATTAAAGACTAAGACATTAAAAAACAACTGCGTCTATAGGGAAAATTAGAAAGTGATAGTACATGCCTGGGAAAAGGCTCAAAGAAACCAGAGAAGATCTTAAATTTACATAAACCCAAGGCTGATTCTTGGTACAGAGATAGCTTACAACAATCAAAAAACAAAAAACAGTAGCAAAAACTTAGAAGACCCTGAAGAAGGGGAAGAATCTGATTTCCAGAGTTACCACAGTCCCAAATTATTTTTTAATAAAGATTTTATTTTATTTTAAAGATTTATTTATTTTAGAGAGAGAGGGAGAGTGTGTGCCAAGTGGGTGGAGGGATAGAGGGATAGAATCTTGAAGCAGACTCCCCATTGAGCACAGAGCCCGATTTGGGGCTCAATCCCATGACCCATGCCTGAGTCAAAACCAAGAAGTCAGATGCTTAACCAACTGAGCTACCCCAGGCACCCCAATAAAGATTGCATTTTTAAGTAATCGCTTCAGCCAACATGGGGCTTGAACTTACAGTCCTGAGATCAAGAGTCAGATGCTTCACTGACTGAGCCAGCCAGGTGTTCCACCACAGCCCCAGATTTGTTGAAAAACATGAGTATAAACATCCAAGAAGCTCCAAGTAAGGTGAACTCAAGGAGACCCACATGAGACATATATAATCAAACTTTCCATAGACAAAGAATCTTGAATGCCAAAAGAGAGAATCAACTCAGCACATACAAGGGATCCTCAATAAGAATATGAGCATGTTTCTCATCAGAAACTTTGGGGACCAGAAAGCAGTGAGCCTAAAAGAATGAAGATTTAATTTTGTTTTTTAGTCCTGTGTTTGGCAAAACTGTCCTTCAAAAGTGTCTTTGTTTGTGTTTTAGTTTAAATAAATTTGATTTAAAAAAATAAATTAGATCATTTATGTGTAACACACTTGACTCTAAAGTCCAATCACAGATTAAGAAAAAAAAAGAGGGCTGCCTGGCTGTCTCGATTTGTGGAATGTGTGACTTCTGATCTTGGGGTTGTGAGTTCAAGCCCCATGTTCGAGGTAGAGGTCCTAAGGGGCACCTGGGTGGCTCAGTTGGTTAAGCATCTGCCTTTGGCTCAGGTCATAATCCCACAGTCCTGGATTGAGCCCCATGTTGGGCTCCCTGCTCATTGGGGAGTCTGCTTCTCCCTCTCCCCCCTCCCCATTCTCTTTTTGCCCCTCCCCCCACTCATGTGCACACACGTGCCCTCTCTCTCTCACTCTCAAATAAGTAAAGTCTTAAAAAAGATGTGTGTATACACACACATACATACACATATGGAATGGAATGTTTTTCAGCCATAAAAAAAGAATGAAATATTGCCATTTGCAATGACGTGGATGGTGCTAGAGAGTATTATGCTAAGCAAGATAGAAAACAAGAAATACCGTATGATATCCCACCAACAGTGCATGATGGTTCCTTTTTCTGCACATTGTCACCAACACCTATTCTTTCTTGTGTTACTGATTTTAGCCATTCTGACAGGTGTGAGGTGATATCCCATTGTAGTTTTGATTTGCATTTCCCTGATGGTAAGTGATGATGAGCATCTTTTCATCTGTTGACCATCTGCATGTCTTCCTTGGAAGAAATGTCTGTTCATGTCTTCTCATTTTTTAATTGGATTATTTGTTTGTTGGGTGTTGAGCTTTATAAGTTCTTTATATATTTTGGATACTAACCCTTTATTGGATATGTCATTTGTAAATAACTTCTCTCATTTCGTAGGCTGTCTTTTAGTTTTGTTGATTGTTTACTTTGCTGTGCAGAAGCTTGATTTTGCTGTAGTACCAATAATTTATTTTTTCTTTTGTTTCCTATGCCTCATTAGACATACCTAGAAAGAATTTGCTACAGCCGATATCCAAGAAGTTACTGTCTGTGTTCTCTTCTAGGATTTTTATGGTTTCAGGCCTCACATTTAGGTCTTTAATCCGTTTTGACTTTATTTTTGTGTGTTGTGAAAGAAAGTGGGCCAGTTTCATCCTTTTGCATGTTGCTGTCCAGTTCTCCCAACACCATTTGTTGAAGAGACTCTTTTTTTCCCATTGGATATTCTTTCCTGCTTTGTCAAAGATTAATTGACCATATGGTTGTGGGTGTATTTCTGGGTTTTCTTTCTGTTCCAATGATCTGTATGTCGGTTTTTGTGCCAGTACCATAGTGTTTTCATTACTACAGCTTTGTAATATAACTTGAAGTCTGGAATTGTGGTATCTCCAGCTTTACTTTTCTTTTTCAAGATTGCTTTGGCTGTTTGGGGTCTTTGGTGGTTCCATACCAGATTTTAGAGGATTGTTTGTTTTAGTTCTATGAAAACTGCTGTTGGTATTTTGATAGGGATTGCATTAAATGTGTAGATTGCTTTGGGTAGTGTAGACATTTTAACAGTATTTGTTCTTCCAGTCTGTGAGCATGGAATGTTTTCCCATTTCTTTGTGTTCCCTTCCATTTCTTTCATCAGTGTTTTATAGTTTTCAAAGTACAGGTCTTTCACAAGAGCTGCATTTTTAAAAATGTTATTAATATAAAAACTAGCATGTGACTTATTTGTAGCTCTACATTTTTTCCCATGTAATTTAGGAGACTAATGCATTTAAAAGAATTTTTAGTTCGTGTTTTGGGGCACACGTGTATAAGATTATAGTATTGTAACATCAGCAACAGAAAAGGTTGGGGATAGAGGTGTAAAGGAACAGAGTTTTTGTATGTTACTGAAGATAAGCTGGCATAAATTCAGATTAGAGTGTTACAACTTGAAGATATGAAGTATAATCCCCATGATAACTACAAAGAAAATAGCTGTAGAATATGCACAAAAGGAAGTGAGAGTACTTGAAGTCATAGAGACAGGGAGTAGAATGGTGGTTGCAGGGGCTGGAGGAAGAGGGAAATAGAAGGAGTTACTGTTTAATGAGTATAGAATTTCAGTTTTATGTGATGAAAAGAGTTACTGAAATGGATGGTGATGATAGCTGCACAACATTATGAATGTGTTTAATACTACTTAATTCTACATTTGAAAATGGTTAGGATAGTGAATTTTGCTATGTGATTTTACTACAGTAAAAAGAAGGAAAGAAAGGGGAAAAAAGTATAGATTCCTCTTTATGGAAAGGTCTCCCAAGATACATTAAGTGTTGGGGTGCCTGGGTGGCTCAGTTGGTTAGGCGTCTGCCTTTGGCTTGGGTCATGATCCCAGGGTCTTAGGGTTGGGCCCCACGTCGGGCTCCCTGCTCGGTGGGGAATCTTAAAAAAAAAAAAAAGATACGTTAAGGGATGCCTGGGTGGCTCAGTCGGTTAAGCATCTGCCTTTGGCTCAAGTCGTGATCCCGGGGTCCTGGGATCGAGTCCCGCATCGGGAGCCTGCTTCTCCCTCTGCCTGCCGCTTCCCCTGCTTGTGTGCGTGCTCCCTCTGACAAATAAATAAATAAAATCTTAAAAAAAAAAAAAAGATTAAGTGTATAAAACATGATGTAAAAAGAAAAAAAGATAATTGACTATTTAAAGCAAGATAATAGTAATATATTTGGGGGTTATAGCATATGTGAAAAGTAAAATAAAAGACGGTAACACAAAGGTTTTGATGAGGGAAATAGACATATACTTTGAAAAGTTCTTACATTATACCTAGGTTTTACCATTTGAAGGTGGACTGTGGCAAGTTCAAGATGCATATTGATGATTTATCCCCAGTGCAGTCACTTAAACAAAAGTAAACAAAGAGTATAAAGATTCTAGTTAAAAAACAGATTAGGGGCGCCTGGGTGGCTCAGATGGTTAAGCGTCTGCCTTCAGCTCAGGTCATGATCCCAGGGTCCTGGGATTGAGCCCCACATCGGGCTCCTGGCTTAGCAGGGAGTCTGCTTCTCCCTCTTCCTCTCCCTCTCCCACTGCTCATGCTCTCTCTCTCTCTGTATCTCTGTGTCTCAAATGAATAAATAAAATCTTTAAAAATATATATATTTTTTATAAAAAAGCAGAGATTATCTGCCTTTTATGTTTATATGTTTCATTTATGCATGACATAGTACCTTTTCTTGAAAAATTGATTCCTTTATTATGAAATGTCTCCTCATCCCTGGTAATATTCCCTTTCCTGAGGTCTGCTTTATTCAATACCAGTACAGCCACTCAGCTCTGTTGTGCTTCCTGTTTACATACTTATCTTCTTCCATTCCTTTTACTTTGAACCTGAGATTTTATATTTAAAATGAATTTCTTCTGGGACACTTGGCTGGCTCAGTCAGTAGAGCATGTGATTCTTGGTCTTGGGGTTGTGAGTTCAAGCCCCACATTGGGTGTAGAGATTACCTAAAAATAAAACTTTTTTAAAAAATGGATTTCTGGGGCGCCTGAGTGGCTCAGTCGTTAAGCGTCTGCCTTCGGCTCAGGTCATGATCCCAGGGTCCTGGGATCAAGCCCCACATCGGGCTCCCTGCTCCGCGGGAAGCCTGCTTCTCCCTCTCCCACTCCCCCTGCTTGTGTTCCCTCTTTCACTGTGTCTTTCTGTCAAATAAATAAAATCTTTAAAAAAAAAAAATGGATTTCTTCTTCATATCATATAATTGCGTCTTGCTTTTATCAGACTGATAAACTCTACCTTTTATTTGGAATCTTTTGCCATTTCCACTTAATAAAATTATTTGACCTGGTTGGTTCTGAGCCTGCCATCTTGCTATTTGTTTTGTATTTGTCCCATTTATTCTTTGTTTCCTAGCTTTCTTTAGGCCATTTTTTTAATATTTATTATTTATCATTTTGTGTTCCATTGTATTTATTTGTATTTCTTGGTAAGTGTATATATACCTTGAAAAAATATGTATAATTTTAATATATAATAATATATAAAAATATGTAAAGTATATATGATTTTTATTTGCAATATATATAATTTTATATATAGCATGATTTTTATTTATAATATATCATTTTTATTTATAATCAATATATAAATATATAAATTGTTATATATATACACACTTAATTACAGAGCTTCAAAATATATAAAATGAAAGCTTATAGAACTAAATAAATAGACAAATTCACAGTTATAGCTGGAGATTTCAAAACTTCTATCTCAGTAATTGGTAGCATAGTAAATAGAAAATCAGGACACAGAAGAGGGGTTGACAGACTGTGACATGTGGGCCAAATCTGTCTTATTTGCCCATTTTTATATTCCGTGTGACCTAAGACTGATTTTTACATTTTTAAATTGTGAAAAAAATAAAGAACAATATTCTGAGATACATGAAGCTTATATGAAATAGAAATTTCAGTGTTTATACATAAAACTTTATTTGAACCCAGGCACACTCCTTTATGTGTAGTGGTAGCATGGTGCTTCCATGCTACCACTGTAGAGTTAAATAGATGCAACAGAGATTATATGTCTCACAAAACCTAAAATATTTATGTAGCCCTTTAAGAAAAAGTTTGTACATCCCCTAATATAGACGTTTTGAACACTAATAACCAGCTTGTTTTAATTGACAATGGAACGGTTTCTGTAACACTATTAGAATACACATTTTTTTAAGTTCACATGAAATAGTCACCAAGATAGGCTATATTTGGATCCTAAAACAAGTCTCAGTGAAGGTGAATGCATTAAAATTATATAGGGTTAGTTCTCTTACTTCATTAAAATTATATTAGAAATCAAAAAAGTATAATCCTCAATATATGGGGGAAATTTTCCAAATTACTTATAGAAAAGGTAACACTTAACCCATGGATCAAATATGTCACAAAGGAAATTAGAAAATATTTTGAATTGAATTAAAATGAAAACAGAATTTACTAAACTTTGAAGGGTGCAGCTAGAACTGTTCTTAGAAGGAAACTTAATAGCTTTAAATGTTTATATTAGAAAAGAAAAAGGTATAAAATGAATTATCTACGCTTCTAAGCATAACAGAGAAAAGCAAGTGAAACTCCCAAGTAAATAGGATGAAAATATTAAATATGAGGAGCTTAGATTAAGGACATAGAAAACAAGCAGTAGAGAAAAAATCATGAAACCAATAGTTTTTTTTTTTATAGGTCAATAAAATTGATAAACTTCTAGGTTTATCAATGAGAGAAATTACCAACATCAAGAATGCTTCTATACATTAAAAGGCTAGTGTTACAGACTGAATGTATACCTCCCAAATTCATGTGTGTAAGGCCCAGTCTTCAATGTGATGGTATATGGAAATGGGGCCTTGGAGTTGGAGCCCTCATAATGGAATTAGTGTCCTTACAAAGAGATACCGGAGAGCTTGCTCTTGCCTCCATCCCTGCCATGTGAGGACACTGAAAAGGTGCCTTGTCTATAAGCCAGGAAAAGAGTCCTCATTAGAAATTGAAATGCTGGGCGCCTGGATGGCTCAGTTGGTTGGGTGACTGCCTTCGGCTCAGGTCATGATCTGGAGTCCCGGGATCAAGTCCCGCATCGGGCTCCCTGCTCAGCAGGGAGTCTGCTTCTCCCTCTGACCCTCCTCCCTCTCGTGCTCTCTGTCTCTCATTCTCTCTTGCAAATAAATAAAATCTTAAAAAAAAAAAAAAGAAAAGAAAAGAAAGTGAAATGCTGGCACCTTAATTTTGTGTTTTTGTTTTTTAAAGATTTTATTTATTTATTTGACAGAGAGAGCGAGAGAGGGAACACAAGCAGGGGGAGTGGGAGAGGGAGAAGCAGGCCTCCTGTAGAGCCGGGAGCCCGATGGCAGGGCTCAATCCCAGGACTCTGGGATCATGACCTAAGCCGAAGGCAGACACTTAAAGACTGAGCCACCCAGGCGCCCCTGGCACCTTAATTTAGGACTTCTAATCTCCAGAACTATGAGAAAGTAAATTTCTATTGTTAAACCACCCTGTCTGTTGTATTTGGTTATAGTATCTTAAGCAGGCTAAGACAGAGATTAAGAAAATATTATGAACAATTTAAAGCCAGTAAAATGAATGAACAGGCATTCATTCAGGTTAGAAGTGGACAAATTCCTTGAAAAATACAAAGTACCACAACTGATGCAAAATGGCTAGAAAACCCAAATAACTCTATACCTGTTTTAAAAAATCAAATTGAGAAAGAAAGTTAAGACCTAATGGCTTTATTTAAGGAAATAATAATACAAGTGTTATACAAATTCTTTCAGAATATAGAAGAGAAGAACACTGTTTAATTTATTTTATGGAGTTAGTATTACCCTTGATAACAGGAGGGGGAAGAAAACTACAGATTAATATCCCTCATGAAATTGGACCCAAAAATAATATTTAGAATGCATTAAATTAAATTCAGCTGTATATCTATGGAAAGGAGATCATATATCATGACCAAGCCAGAATTATTCCAAAAATACAAAGTGGTTTACCTTTTGAAAATTAGTGCAACATACTCTATTAACAGAATAAAGAGAAAAACTTTATGATCATCTTAATATATCCTGCGATGACATTTGAAAAATTCAGTTTTTATTTATGATAAACAAGACCTTCAGCCACCTAGGAATAGAAGGGAACGTGTTTACCCTGATAAAGGCATGAAACTACATCATACTTAATGGTGTAAGGGAATCCTATCCGCTGAAATCCACTGTGATGCAAGTATGTCCGATCTCATTATTTCTGTTCAACTTTGTACAAGAAGTTCTAGCCAGGTCAATAAAACTAGAATAAGAAATAAAAGGCAGGGACGCCTGGGTGGCTTAGTCAGTTAAACGTCTGTCTTCAGCTCAGGTCATGATCTCAGGGTCCTGGGATCAAGTCCCACATTGGGCCCCTTGTTCAGCGGGGAGTCTGCTTCTCCCTCTGCCTGCTCTGCCTGCCGTTCCCCCGCTTGTGCTCTCTCTCTCTCTCTTTCTGACAAATAAATAAAATATTAAAAAGAAAAATAAAAGGCATACATGTTGGAAAGTAAGGAATAAAGCTGTATATGTAGGAAATTCTAAAGAATTACTAAGGTTGCAGGATACAGGGTCAGGAATATGTGTAAGACCATTACACTGAAAACCACAGAACATTGTTAAGGGAAATTAAAGAAGGCCTAAATAAATGCAGAGAGAAATAATGAGGTATATGTTTTGGATGACTCAAAACTGTATGATGTGTACCTGTATGATGTGTACCCAGATAAGTACCTGATTTCAAGAATGGCTATAAAGGGGCTGGCTCGGTCAGAAGAGCATGTGACTTTTGATCTCCAGGTTGTGAGTTCAAGCTCCACTTTGGGTGTAGAAATTACTAAAAAAAAAAAAAAAAAAAAAAATGAACAATTTAAAAAAGAAAAAAGAATTGCTCTAAAGCTATAGTAATCAAGACAGTATGGTAGTGTCATATGGTACATGTTTAGCTTGAGGAGGTGGGGGTTTTGGAGGGAGGACCGACTACAAAGGAGCACCAGGGAACTTTTGGAGATGGTGGAAATGTTCTGTATCTTGATTTTTGCCATCATATGGGTATATACATTTGTCAAAAGTTGTCATACTGCATTTAAAATGTAGGTGGATTTTATTATATCTAAAGTATAACCTAACAAAGTTGCATTTTTAAAAAGATCCATATTGGGGGCTCCTGGGTGGCTCAGTCGGTTAAGCGTCTGCCTTCAATTCAGGTTATGATCTCAGGTTCCTGAGATCGAGCCCTGCATCCAGCTCTCTGCTCAGCGGGGAGCCTACTTCTCCCTCTCCCTCTGCTGCTCCCCCTGCTTGCGCTCTCTCTCTCTCTCTGTCAAATAAATAAATAATGTTTAAAAAAAATAAAAAGATCCATATTTCTAGGATAGTTTTCTTGGTGGATTTCTCCAGTTTTGAGATGGGAATATATGAATTTTAAACTTCTGGAGTCTGCTGGCTGCCCGGGCCACAGCAGATGAAGCTGCTTCAGGATGAGGTGGCAGATGGGAGTGAGCACAGGTGGCCAAGGCAAAGTCGTGGCGGGAGAATAATGATGAATGGAGCAGCCGGACCCTCGCACATGGACTGTTGCGAGCGGGTTCTCACGTTAGGCGAGAGTTTCGAGAAGCAGCCACGCTGCACGTTCCACACTGTACACTATGACTTCAAACCTGCTTCTGTTTCTATTGACACTTCTGTGAAGGAGAGCTTACAGTCAGCAAAGGTGAACAGGTGACAATAACTGTGCCAGATATAGAGGGTTCAACTCCACCAGTAACTGTTTTCAAAGGTTCAGAGAAACCTTACTTAAAGGAATGCATTTTAATTATTAACCATGACACTGGAGAATGCCAACTGGAAAAACTCAGCAGCCACATCACTGTAAAAAGAACAAGAGTTGAAGGAAGTCGTTAACTTCAGTATCGTTGAGAGCAATGGCAGCAAAAAATGCGGACTTCAGCTAGGACTCCCCATCTTGTGAAACAGTCTCCATCTGAAGACAAATGTCCCCAGCATCACCAGTGGATGATACTGAGAGAGAACTGAAGGCAGAAGCTAGTCTGATGGGCCAGATGAGTAGTTGTGATAGTTCATTGGATTCCAAAAGTTCATCATCTTCAAGTAGTGAGGATAGTTCCAGTGATTCAGACGATGAAGAGTGCAGATCCTCTCCTTCTGATCCAGGGAATTATATCTCAGGACATCCTGCCATGTCTGCCATGCCACATTGCAGGATTCCTGATACGGATGCCGGCCAGAATAGATCTCATGACAACAGTGGCCTTCTGATGAGTACTTTAAGAAATGATTTGCAGCTGAGTGAATCAGGAAGTGGCAGTGATGACTGAAGAAACATTCAGCTATAAATATAAAATTTGTAAGATGTGATTATTTTATATTAAGAATCAAGATTCCTAATACTGAAGAAAATGTGTCTTAACTTTTGATGATAAAATAAATTAAATTTGGTTCAGAATTTTCAGTTGATGTTATATTTTTGGCCTTTTTAAAGTACCAGCATTTCCATTTATTAGGCTTTACAGATGAGAAAACAGACGTTAGGTAACTTGCCCACATATTGTTAGTTAACAAGTAGCAGATCAGGTGTTCTAGAGTTCAAGTTCAATGCTCTGTTTTAAAACACTGCTGTCGGGGCACCTGGGTGGCTCAGTCATTAAGCGTCTGCCTTCGGCTCAGGTCATGATCCCGGGATCCTGGGATCGAGTCCCACATCGGGCTCCCTGCTCAGCGGGAAGCCTGCTTCTCCCTCTCCCACTCCCCCTGCTTGTGTTCCTGCTCTCGCTCTCGCTCTCTCTCTCTGTCAAATAAATAAATAAATAATCTTAAAAAACAAAACAAAACAAAAACACTGCTATCTCCCAATTGTGAAATGTCACAACAACTGATTTATAATAAATGCCCATGGTTTAAAAAAAAAAGAAAAAGACTCTTCTACTTATTTTCTTTGGAACCTGACTAATATGTAGCAGGCATTCAGTAGTTTTCAATATATTGTTTAATAAAATCAAGATTTTTTACAAGCTAAGTATTTTGAATGCTCATTTTCATAATAAAATTTTTGGAAAGTCTCTAATGTATTTTGTACAGAGTAATTCTTCAAAGTCATGTATTTAATACATTAGAATTTCCTTGTTTCCTGTTGACATTTAGTAAATTATGGCCATGTGATTGCTTATATATTTTCCATTTTCAGATTATTATATTCATCAAGTCTTTGGCTATAACCTTTTCTGGGGTCATCTAGATGAGTAGTTCTTAGATTTTTAAATTTCATAGAATAATAAAATTTTTAGTTAATTTTGGGCAATGTCTTAAATTTTGCTAAGTAAGCACATCAAGAGAAAAAAGTCACTGTCACCTACAGTCTTCATTTTAATACCAAAAAGGTAGAAAGAACATCACTTCCAGGTAAAATAGTCCTTCCTAAGAAAATCAAGACATATTATTGATTACTATATGCTAGGCATTATACCTAGTATTTAAAGATTTTTTATTTGAGAGACAGAGAAAGTTGGAGCAAGAGTGCGAGCAAGAGCATGAGCAGGGGGAGGGGCAGAAGGAGAGGAAGAAGCAGACTCCCTGCTGAGCAGGGTGCCTGATGTGGGGCTCCATCCCAGAACCGTGGGATCATGACCTGAGCGGAAGGCAGATGCTTAACTGACTGAGCGACCCAGGTGCCCCTACATCTAGTATTTAAATATGTTATCTAATTTAATTTTCAAAATAGCCCTGTTATTATATTGATTTGACTGGAAAAGAATTTGAGGCTCAGTTATATCAGGTAACTTGGTTAGAACAGGTTGATTTAATAGCACATGTTCTTAACATAGTTCAGGCACTTTTATAATTCAGAACAATTAGCCTAAAATGGTGGGTTTCTATAATTGTGGGTTTCTTTTTTTTTTTTTTAAGATCTTATTTATTTATTTGAAAGACAGGGAGCACACGCACAAGCCGGGGGGAGAGGCAGAGGGAGAAGCAGGCTCCCCGCCAAGCAAGGAGCCTGACGTAGGGCTTGATCCCAGAACCCTAGGATCATGACCTGAGCCAAAGGCAGACACTTAACCGGCTGAGCCACCCAGGCACCCCTAATGCATATTTCTCGATAAAAATTTGTTACCATAGTGTTGTTGTTGTTGTTGTTTTTAAGATTTTATTATTTATTTGACAGCACAAGTAGGCAGAGCGGCAGGCAGAGGGAAAGGGAGAAGCAGGCTCTCCGCCGAACAGGGAGCCCAATGCGGGGCTAGACCCCAGAACCCTGAGATCATGACCTGAGCCGAAGGCAGATGTTTAACCAACTGAGCCATCCAGGCGCCCCTTACCATAGGTCTTTATTTGATAGTCTAACACGAGCTCAAATAGCATATATAGGCATTCATTTTTACTCCACAGGTAATGATTAAAACCTCTGTTAAAGAAACAACCTTCTAAATGTTCATTTGTTTTGGAGTATTCTGGGTAAATTGATAAAATCCTGTTGGTTTTAGGATGTTTTTCCAGTTTTTTAACACCTTGTGCTGGTTAAGAAAGCACAAGATGGTAGTATTGTTGTCTGGCCATCTAGGCCTACCAGGAGGGTGCAAAAAGGCACACCCCGTGCCCTTTCACTCCTATCTAGAACATGATATGTAGGGTTCTGATGTAGTGACAGTGTTACCATTATAATCCATATAAATATGCACATACTTTGAAAATTTATGTCGGTGTCAGGTTGCTTGCTTTTTTCTAGGAATGGTAAGACATTTTGAGATTTTTGTGCTAAAAAATATGACCTTTAAACTTTAGTTTGAATGACACTTTTTACACTTGCTAACTATGTACAAAATCATTTATTCTCTGGACCTGTCTTTTCATCTGTTAAAATTAGTAAGATTTATCTCAGGTATATTGTCAACTCAAATGAGGCAGGATAAGTGAAAACTAGAAACTAAGGGACATTTTAGGTGGTTGGAAGCCCATCAGGGTGTTTAAAGCAGAATAGTGATGTGATAACGCTATTTTAGTTTGGTTGGTAAGATGTTGGATCTGAGTGACGGTAGAGGGGGAGTAAGGCTAGAGGAAGGCAGAATAGAAGGGGAAGATCATAGGTGAACTTAATGACATCGAGAGTGGACGTGAAAAATGTAATCAGTCATTTTGGAGGGAAAAATCAGTATTTCTGGGTGATTGAGAGGAGGGAGAAGAATCTCTTGCCTCCCAGATTTATTTGCGGTAAATATTTGACTGCCTGTTACTTGCAGTCTTGCTGGGCATTGCTGTATACAGGCACAGCCGCTAAGGCCCTATAGGAATTGATAGTCTTTGGGGTCTGTGTAGGATGCTGCCTGCATTCATGAGCAGAACATTTGGGAGTGAGTGCTGGTTTGCATTATTAAGTCAACCTACCTACTTGTAAGCAAGTTGAGTTCTGTGCCATAGATATGGGTACAGAATATGGCCATATAATTTTTATGTGGTCTTCATGTTGTTTGCAAAGTTCCATTAATGTTTGGGAAAATGATAATTTTAGGCATTTGGAAAGATTGTATTTTACTCCTAATAGTGCTGAGTATGTAATGAAACTCAGGGCTTTCAGATAATTTGCATTCATTCAGTCATACGTGGTGCTATTTTTAGGGAAAAACATTTCTGAATCTATGTACATAAATTTGAGTATTCATTACAGGCTTGTCAGTTCTAGTTATTGTCAGTGTTAAAAGGATTTAAATAAAATTTAGCTGTAAACTGGGCTAATGGATTTCTTTATTGTGCAGCAGTGGTTCTCAAACTTCAGATTGCATCGAAATCATCTGGAGGGCTTGTTAAAACATAGGTTACTGGGTCCCACCCCAAGCTTCTGATTTAGTAGGTCTGGGGTAGGGCTGAGAATTTGCATTTCTAACAAGATGATGCTTATGTTAAGACCTACTGTTACATAATTAGTAGTAAGATTATATTAGGAAATCACAGTTTAGCTTCTAAAAAAACGCTTCATGAAAAGATTAGTAAAAAATACATAATGCCTAAGAAATAAACTTAATTTGATACAGCTCAAATCCAAATCCCCTCAGGATGTAGTAAATATAAAATTTCTTTTATAATCTTTACTAAAAGTTATTCTTATTTATTTAGCACTAGAACTAATAATTAGGAAAATATCTTTAAAAATACATTAGAGGGGCGCCTGGGTGGCTCAGTCGTTAAGTGTCTGCCTTCGGCTTGGGTCATGATCCCAGGGTCCTAGGATCAAGCCCTGCATCGGGCTCCCTGCTCCGCGGGAGGCCTGCTTCTCCTTCTCCCTCTCCCCCTGCTTGTGTTCCCTCTCTTGCTGTGTCTCTCTCTGTCAAATAAATAAATAAAATCTTTTAAAAAAAATAAAAATACACTAGAGACCTAAACATTGTTCTCTACTCACAACAAATAGTTGACTCTTTAGAGGTAGTATTTAGAGGTATGAGATACCTCTAAAAACTTAATTTATCCAGTGCTTTTCCTTGAAGTTAAAAATCAGACTTGAATTTTTAACAAATTTAATACTTGCAGTGAAAAAACAAAACAGCCATTCATTGAAGGTGGATGGTTTGTTTTCCACTTTGCTTCTCTTCCCTGATCAGCCCCATAGTGTCCTGAATTTCAAAAACTAAAACTATTGGAGGATGAAACATGACAATAGGGTTAATGTAGTATGTCAACCTAAAGTAGTTTCAGTAATTTCAAAAAATCTTATATTTTTTTAGCTAATGGGAATGACAACAAGAAATTTAAAGGAGATAGACCTCCCTGTTCGCCTTCCCGTGTTCTCCATCTTCGCAAAATTCCAAGTGATGTCACCGAAGCAGAGGTCATATCATTAGGTCTACCATTTGGCAAAGTTACTAATCTTTTGATGTTGAAAGGAAAAAGCCAGGTATGTAATGTTTAAAGATTGAACCACAGTGATTATCTCTGGATATTAGTGTTAAAGATGACTTTATTTTCTTGAACTTTTCTGTGTTTTCTAAATTTCATTTGCTTTACATAAGTAGTTTTTTCAGTAGAATTTTTTGTGTGCGTGACAGGAAGCAAGAAACAAAAATATTAACACAGGACATAGAATTATCTCTTATTCCAGTGACTTGTCCTTTTCTTCCTTAACAAAAAACATTTTATATTCTTAATTACAAAATAGTTTATGAAAATATCCTTTGGTTATCAGAAGACCAAGACAGAGAGAGAGGATATGAATTATACCTTATTTGGCAATTAAAGAATATTTAAGTTTTCCAAAATCTTTATAGAAATGTATAGTATATTTTAGTTTTAGAATTAACATATATTTTCTTTAATAATTCCAAAGAGACTGTTAGAAGTTTTTCATTTCAGAAGTTAATAGGTTTTTCTTAAGACGAATAAGGAAACTTGCTTTTGTGGTGACCATGACAAAAATACAATACTTTTTATGTTAACTTGAACAATTAATCTGCTTTCTTGTTCCAGCTTAGACCCCAGTAGGATGAATTCTTTAGTTCTTTCCCAGTTTTTGGTCGTCCTGAAAACCTTTATACTGAGCATTGCTATAAGAGGAGGACAACAGATTTAGGCCCTAGATATTGTGTAATACAGTGTGATAAATCCCTATTTCTTAGAATTTTCATAAATAAGTTTAAGATACATTATAAATAGATTTATAAATAGATTGATACGTGTTGGATATGAAAGAGATTGGAAGATTCTGGCCCTTTAGTAAACTAAATAAACATTCCCATTTAATTCAGATGAAGTTATTTAAATCTGGAGAGGTTAGATAACATGTCTTAGTATTCAACTTTTGTTGTGTTTACACATTTATCGTACATCTTTTGGAGATAGTACATGCACTTGGATCTTTATTTTAATTCAGTTGCCACTATTGAGAATAGTGTGGTTTGCGTAGTTTTAAAAGAGCCAACTTGGCCAAGTCTAATGGCTGTGAGATTTATCATGTACAGTATCATGTTTCATGTAGTGTATCCTGTACATTCTGTCAAATGGTTATGAGGGGCAGCAGGCAACATCACACTTTGTCTCTGCCATTGGTTCTGGATTTATTATTTATCTGTGTGCTGACTGTTAGGTTAATTGCTTATCTTTGGATCATAAATCCTGTTTAGAAAATATTTTGTTAGTAATATACTTTAGCAAGAGAGTGTCATGTGAGCCATTAGAACTACTTGTAGGTGTAATCTCTCTTATGTTACTTAGAGGTAGAGTGTTGAGGGCGTGGGGGATATTTGCACCAGCCTTTCTGTGAGTAGCGACTTTTGGTTTTTTCTCCACCCCCCTACTATGGAAATGGATTTCTCTGGATACTTTGGGAAAACCTAAATAATTCCTTTACTGGGCTCCATGTGGAAAAATTTATTTTTACGGATGAATTTTTAGGTTGTATATACTTTCAGGAAAAATTTTCTGTAACAAAAATCATGTATTCCAAAGACGTTTAGCTTTTCTTTTGTGTGACTGTTAGACATTGAGTTTAGTTCTTTGCATTTATGAAGGAGTTTTCAAAAAGATACTCTTCCCTCCATATAGTGAATATTATTAGCAAACAGTGTACAACTTCTTTGTTGAAAAGATGATTAAAAACCAGATAGGAAGTATCGCTATAGCTATTTTGGTTACCTTGGTCATTTTTAACCTCTTAGAAAAACTAGTAAAAGTATATTACTGATATATTTGGATAGTGGTTTTAAATTGCATTGTGGACATTTATTCCTTGAAGATAGTGGAATTTTATCTGTTGTGGATTAATTAATTAATGATATTTGATCGACTGTCATGTGGCTAACATTATTACCTCATAGAATATTGTTAGTTCATTAAAGCATTTAATTGATTCACTTGTGACATTTGATTGATACAGTTAAGCATCACATTTAACATTTGTCAAGTTAGTATTCCTTTACTGGAATATTTGCCAAATAGAAACATTTAGCAAGTAATATAACTATAAACAAATAAATTGTTTTA